GTGTAGATGTATTTAATTAATACTTTGCTTTTATTTTAATTATTGTTAGTTTAATCATATATATAATCAATGTTAATTCAAAGTATAACTAAATAGTTTTATTTTGAACAAAGTAATGGTGAATTAAATAAATCAAACAATTATGACTCCGCCCACAAATAAACTGCTAAAGAAATACTTTGATTACCAGTTTTATCTTTTTACCCTGATTGATACGGTTTTATGCTGTCACGTATTTGTGACAGTCGGCGCGAAAGGGTTAATGAATTTACGGAACTTTAAGGAGCATTAGTGAGTAGGAGGGTTAGAGGTAAGAAGAAACTTAAATTGTGAACAAAATGAACACGATTTTTATTTTGTAAATACAGTGTCCTCTGTGAACTGAAATGCAAATGAGGTTATTTTTTCTCACGAAAATATAAGTCTACAATAAAAAATAGAGTTTCCTTTTGTGACATTTGATTCTAAAAACTGTGGAGAATTTGACGATCGCATATTAACTCGACAAACTCTAAACATAACTAGACGAGACTGACAGAACTTATTCTGATGTACCGTTCAACAGTTTATATAAAGCGCCATCTATTTTCAAAAACTTACAGTTCTTATTGAAGATTTTTAAATAGCTTTCTCTCCATCTCCTGTACATGTGGTAGGGGTACAGTTTGGTATCATTGAATTCCTTTTTTGAAATTTTTTCATCCGTACAATTTTTTTATGTTCACCATATTAATCTATTAAATTAGTATATTTAATAATTACATTTCATCCTTAAATCATGAATTTGTTTATCTTTTCAGATTCCCGGATGAACTGTAGGACTGAAAGCTATGATTATTAAAGGCCTATATATGAAATGTATGATCAATTAAATAAAATAAATTCTTTAAAAAAATTAACATGTTTAAAAATGCTTGTGAATTTAATTTCATTTTGTTTTAAAACTGCCGTTGAACAGTCAACCCACTTTTGAATTTACGGCTACCAATGTTCAATGCCGTAGCTTAGTAATTTTGAATCGAATCCAGAAGTCAAGGGAACTCCAGGATCAAACATTGGGAGAAACTTTGCCTCCGTGAAGAATTTTTTGATAGAACAAACCCTCATTTTCGTGAGATGGATAGGAAAACCCCGAAAACCTCCCACGGTTAGCCTAACTCACAGATGGCGCTTTAGTCGCAGAATGAAAATGTAGTAGCAGAATGAAACAAATTATATGATCTATTGAAACACTTGCCTAATAATACCCAAAGACTTGTCATCAAAACTTCTCCACCATTTGAAATAATCAAAGTGATCCCCAGGGGGTGGAGTAGAGTTTGGTGTCATTAGGTGAATTTGTGAAAATATTAAAAATTTTATTTATTTATTTTTTTCGTTGGGACACGCATTTTTAAAATTATTATAAACTAAATGCAAAACTTTTTTATTTTGCAATTACATTGACATCTCTGAAATGAAATGCAAATTAGGATATTTTTTCTCTCCAAAATACAAGCCAGCAATAAAAAACATAGAATTTCCTTTTGATTGTGGAGATCGGAAAGACATAATTAGACTATCACATATTTACTAGACAAATTTTAAACATAACTGATCGAGACAGTTTCAGTATTCTGATGTAATGTTCAACAGTGTATGAGTACAGTTTATATAGCGCCATCTGTTTTCAATTACCAACAGTTCTCATTTCAGATTTTTAAATTGTTTTCATCCTAACTCCTGTACATGCTGTTGAGGTTAAGTTAGGGTATCATTGAATTCATCTTTTGAAAATATTTCATTCGCATTTCTTATACTTACCATGTTAAGTAAATAATTAATCCATTAAACTGATATTTTTAATAATTACATTTCACCATTAAATCATGAATTTGTATATCGTTTCAGATTACTTGATGTACTATAGAACAGACAGCAATGGTTAATAAAAACCTATGTATGAAATGTGTGATGACTGAAATAAACGAAATTCTTTAAAAAAAATTTATGTGTTTAAAAATGTGTAAAATTATTTTATTTTGTTTTATATCCGTCGTTAAAAAGCGATTCAATTTTGGGTTTATGACTAATAATGTTCATCGACGTAGCCTTGTAATTTTGAAACCAACACAGAAGACAAAGGAACTCCTGAATCAAGGAATGGGAGAAATTTGACTTTGTCTAGGACCCTTCGACTAGGAACTAACACGTATTTGAGTTACATGGAGAGCAAAGTCAGGTAAATCTCCCACGGTTAGCCCGAGGGCAAGGAGACTCTAATCAATGATCTGCCTACCACTGAGAATATTTTACTGTGGTGAGGACTGTGGTCGGTGCGAGTCGCGTGCGAAATTCATATCGGATATTCAGATCGGTTCACCTCATTGAAAGGCAAATGCTCTATCCTCTGAGCCACCAGTACTCGTGAGTGGAATTATAGTCAGCTCTGGCAGAGTTTTTCTTAACACATGAGATAAATTTGCCCACTAGATGTTTTCGATTTATGACACACGGGATAACTTTGTCTATTAGATGTCATCGATTAATGGTATACGGAATAATTTTGCCCACTATATGTTTTCGATTCATGACACACGGGATAACTTTGTCTATGAGATGCCATCGATTAATGGTATACGGAATAATTTTGCCCACTAGATGTTTTCGATTTATGACACCAGGGACAACTTTGTTCATTAGATGTGTTTCATTAAAACCTGCCTCTTAAGTCATCTTATTAAAAACCATTGCACAGCTAAAAATGAGGAAAAATATAAGAGAAAGGAAAGCGAGAATAGACTGTTTTAATAAATTTATCAAAACACCTTTCTAATCAATAATTAAATTATTATTAGAACGTTATTGTTTTTGAACAGGTTTTATTGTTATTATTAGAAAGTATTTTATATAGTTTCCGTTAAGTGATTTCGAAGACATTAGTTTTGTTTGCATAATTTTTTCACTAAAACTTGAACGTTTATCTTCATTTTGAATGACACATTAGCTAATTCAGATGTATATTTTTAAATAAAACTTTCACCCCCAAAAAAGTTGTTTTTTACCACATCTTAAATATAAACGTTAAATTGGTATCTCTTAAAGAAAATCCCTGCCAGTATTAAAGTCAGTTAAGTACCGATGAAAGAGAACTATTCTTGCAATGCTTACAGTGGGTCCTACTCTAATAAATACCAACTAGTTCTCTTTAACAACACTATACCCATAGTTGATAAAGCTATATATTTAGGCTTNGTTTTCGATTTATGACACCAGGGACAACTTTGTTCATTAGATGTGTTTCATTAAAAACTGCCTCTTAAGTCATCTTATTAAAAACCATTGCACAGCTAAAAATGAGGAAAATATAAGAGAAAGGAAAGCGAGAATAGACTGTTTTAATAAATATATCAAAACACCTTTCTAATCAATAATAAAATTATTATTAGAACGTTATTGTTTTTGAACTGGTTTTATTGTTATTATTAGAAAGTATTTTATATAGTTTCCTTTAAGTGATTTCGAAGCGATAACTTTTGTTAGTTTTGTTTGAATATTTTTTCACTAAAATTTGAACGTTAAATTTCATTTTGAATGACACATTAGCTAATTCAGTTGTATATTTTTTAATAAAATTTTCACCCAAAAAAAGTTGTTTTTTACCACATCTTAAATATAAACGTTAAATTGGTATCACTCAAAGAAAATCCCTACTAGTATTAAAGTGAGTTAAGTACCTATGAAAGAGAACTATTCTTGCAATGCTTACAGTGTCCTCACAACTATGTGTTCATAACCTCCATAACCTATGTGCCCCACAGACTATGGACACATAGGCTATGTGTTCATAATGACAACCCGTGAAGTCGTTAGTTGTTTTCAGTTTAGTATCCTGTAAGTAAGAAAGACATATTAATAGCATCTATTAATATTTATCTAACAAGCATATTCAAATGTAACACAATTACTCAATTACTAATATACCACAATTAAATATAACACGATATTAAAAACGATGAAAATAGTTTACAGTATCAATTAATTCCGGAAAAAGAATTTTACTATATCTGGACCCGGCTAATTTTAACAAATATCCGTTGCTGGGTTAGATCATCACCTCCTACAAGAAGAAGCCTCCACACGGTCTTTTATGAGTAGTCCGCGTAGACTATTTAAAAAGTGAACCAGTTGTGCCAATGAACCCAGAACCTTTTATAAAAGTAATTGAGAGAAATTTATCATATATATTTGAGAATTGAATCTGTAGTGGTTGACAAGTGAATAAGGCAAACCAATAGTATTCAGAAGGAAAACAAATTTTTAGTTATATTTTAGTCACCACTTTCTGATTTTAATCAGATTTTGTATTAAGTGACTCGTTCGGAAAGTAGATATCCTTCACATTGGTCTGATAGGACTATCTATAAAAACCCGTGTGGAGGTTTTCAGTTAGTTGAATTCTGCACCCGGCTCGCACCGATAAAAAAAAGTTTGAATAAAGTTTATTACCTTAATGAAATTATATTTCTACCCTTTTAAATTTTTAAATATAAAAAGTTACTTTTTCGTAATAAATTATTTCTTCATTACAACGACTTGATATTTTCTGTTTAAAAACCTAGTAAGTTCGGAGTCATGTTAATGATAAAAAAATATTTTAATCTATACGTTTCAAATATTTGCATATAATGGTGTGAAAGAAAATATTGAATCAAATTTATTAACTTAAAATTATTTTTCTACCCTTTTAAATATAAAAGTTACTTTTTCTTAATAAATTTTTCCTTCATTACAACGACTTGATATTTTCTTTTCAAGGACCTAGTAAGTTCGGAGTCATGTTAATGATAAAAAATATTTTAATCTATACGTTTCAAATATTTGCATATAATGGTGTGAAAGAGAATATTGAATCAAATTTATTAACTTAATAAATAATTAATACCTGTGCCCTGCTCAAAATAAAAATAAAATTCCTCTGGAAAACCTAAAGAAATGACAGCTAAGCAAATATTACAGTTTGAAGCTCAAATACACATATTTTACTAAGCATATTTCGAGGTTATCTCTCGCCTAGTGAATTCGGAAAGTCACGATTTTCAGCTTTTACGTAACTTGTTCAATACAATTCACCCACTGTATGAGAATTATTAATACATAATCTTCTTAGTTTTTTCTCTTGTTTTTTTCGAAAGATTTACACTTACAGTTTTAATACTCTAAGTGAAAATCACGTATGATTGACTGATAAGGACTATGAAAATTTTTTCTTTCTTATTATTTTCTTATTATATATATATCTTTCTCATTTCTTATTATTTTCTTTCTTATTAAAGAATTTTNGCATGAACCCAAAACCTTTTATAAAAGTAATTGAGAGAAATTTATCTTATATATTTGAGAATTGAATCTGTAGTGGTTGACAAGTGAATAAGGCAAACCAATAATATTCATAAATAAAAAAAATTTTATTCATATATTTGCTACCACTCTCTTATTTTAATTATATTCTATATTAAATGACTCGTTCGGTAAGTGGATGTATTTCACAGTGGTCTGATCGGACTACCTATAAAAAACCTTGTGGAGGCTTTCAGTTATAGGAGGCGTTGGTTAGACTAATTTATGTTCCACGCAACCATACTCAAATTTACAGTAACGTTAAAACTATTTATGCAAAATAAATAAAATAAAAAATTTAATCTTGGAATTTCTTGTATTCCATCCGTTTTGTAATAGCACGACATATTTTACTCTAGCATTGAATTTTAATTCAGGAAAATATTGGTAAAAGAACTCCAACTGAGAAATATATTCGTTTAAGAGAGATGTTCGTTTAAGACAAAGACATTCCATCTCATTTAGTTTTATTAAATAAATATAAACTTATAAATGGAATATTTTAAATTT